ATGTCTAGGTATTGTCCCTTTCTGTTCACGAACGACCTTAACTCCTACAATTAATCCCAATCATTTTTGTTAATTGCCATCTTAATTGTAAATAATTAAATATTTAGATTAGGTATTTTACCGAGTTTCCTTCTTCGTTCCTTACATTGGATCACAAACGGGAATCTTAAAAGATTTCCAATTATGTCAACACCGTTGTCACCTGGTGCAGAACTATAAAAATAGATAAATAAAATAAAATGAGCATTTGCGTCGTCATCGTCAAGAATCAAGGAAGAACGTTCACAGTTGTATGTACTGCGGCCACGAAGCGCTTTCTTTCAATGATTCATGTATCCTATTCACCACTTCAGCTCCCGGGGTGTCCTTATGCGCGCTTCTTTGGGCAAAGAAACTGTTTCAGGTATTTCTACCAAGGCTTCGCTTAAGTGTTATAGCTGTAGCTTTTCGGAAACGGAGAAGAACGTTCACAGTAGGTCGTCCACCATACGCCAGGTCTGAAATACCTGACTGGTAACTTTCACAAACTGTGGCCTCGAAGAGCTTTCATTCCCCGGTTTTACACCTAGTGGCAGCGTAACTTCAAATACATAACAACTTAACAAGTGCCTCTGTGATATTCACCTTATCATATAAATTCGATGTTAATACTCTTCAAATTTCCCTTTCGAATTTCTTTCTCTAGCTACGGAAGACGTAATTATATAGCTTTATTTATTTTATTTTTTTTTTTTCTAAAAAAAAAGAAAAACAAAATGAAAAGTTACTTCCCTCTTCTTAAATATCGGCATATTTACTTTTTATCTCTCTCTGAACGAAACTTGTGTTGAAAGCCGTTAAGTTTAAACCTACATGATCGATTTATCCAAGTCAAGTAATCTTACACTTTCAAACAATACTCTACCTATATAATTGTTAGGAAACATAGAAATTGGGTAAAAATACAAATAAATAGTAATGAAAATAATGAAAATCTTTTGCAAATATTCATGAAAATATTATACGCACTTTATCAAAGTTTTTTATCTAGTACTTGGAAGACAGGAAGAAAGCGACAGTGCAGAAAAGATATATAAATATTCGAAACTCTGTGTAACGATTTTCATCAATCACAACATGGTAAACACATATTATTTTATAATTTACATTTTATAAAAAGTAACCTTTTGAAACTTATGACGTATTTATAAATATTTCTAATGAAGTTAATCGATTTGATCAACAATAATCGGGTCAGGTGGGTCAAGTGCTTATAGTTGATTGTTCAGTATTATTAAAATCGCCTTTTTTTCAAATTTTCTTTCGTTTTGCGAATTTTCTTTTTGATCTGGGTTTGATCTCTTTGGTAACTAAATCACGTTTATTTAGGCTTATTTTTCTAGATTTTGGAGTTTTGTAACTTTTTCACGAATGTCTCCAATTTTATTTTTTTAGGAAATATATAAACCTCAAATAGTAGCTTATCGAAACTAGTTGACTTATTATTCATTTGACGAATACTAAATTATACATAAATTCAAATTGTCGTTATTAATAAACTGCGCCCATAATTAATTTTTATAATTGCTAAAAGAAAGTAAGGAAGGATAAAAAAAATTTTTTTTTTATCGTTATCAATAAAATTAAACAATTTCACTAAATTCACGTGAGAGAATTTATTTGATAATTCGGCCCAACTAAATACTATCATAACTATTAAAATTACTTTTAGGAATCACATTAAAAATACAAATCACTCTGGGGTGATAAAGAGTTAGCGATACGATACAGGAAAGATGCATGTTAGAGGCCTGCATAAGTCCAAATTTTGAAGCCCGGTCCGGACTTTAAGCCAGGTATAAAATTCTAACTTGATCCATAATAATCAATTTATGCTATTTGGAGATGCGAAATTTAATACTCAATAATATTTATGTATTTTACAAATACCAAAAATAGTATTTATTTATCAAATTTTTATAAAAAATAAAAACCAAAGTAAAAACTATTGAATTGCACTATCTTATTGTGTCCAAAATTTCAATTTATTGCTTTTTTTCTTAATTTTTTATATTTTTTTATTGATTAAATTTGATATTTGTTTTAAAAAACAACATTAATTAAATTATAACTTTTGCCAGAATTATTAAAATTTCGCCCATAAAAATAAAACACGGGATACTCTAAAAAAAAATATGATATCAACAATAATTAGAAAAAATAAATATTCTACCCCCCCAAAAAATAACGATCAAAAAAAAAAATACTTTGAATAATGCTGCGGAAGTGATCAAAAGTAAAATTCGGATAAAAAAATTCAAACTCAATAGCTGCGACCAAAACTATCAAACCGAAACACAAAAAAAATAAAAAAGAAACCACAAATTATAATAATAAAAATAAAAATAAAAGCCATACAGACATCCTAAGACACTAATCTGAAAAAGAACCTAAAAAAAGAAAATAAAAATTAGAAAAGTAATTAAATTATTTAAAAAAAAAAAAATGATAAACTCCTGGCCTGCCTGCAACGACCGATTCGAATCTTATAAAAAAACAAAACTAAATAGAAGAAAGTAACGTACTCCCCGGCTTTTTCTAGCCGCGTCCCCATATAGAAAGAAATATTATCTGTCACAAATTAGAATTAATTTGTGGACATATTTACGTATTGCTAAATAGATATTAGGATCAAAAAAAAAAAAAAATTAAAGAACCAAAAAAAAAACTTAATAATAACCCATAGATAAAAAAATATATATATATTAATTAAATTAATTAAAGGAAAAAAAAATCCATTAATGATATTATACCGCGCGCCGCGTAATCTTACAACCTAGATCGCTGGGGAAGTAGAAAACTTTTTTTTTAAAAAAATGAAACTGAAATTAAAAAAAAAAAAAAAATTCTCGTACTTCCGAACAATCGAAAAAAAGTAGTAAATTAGAAAAAGAATTAAACAGCAATGATAGTATTTAAAAAAGTGCTACACCACTAAAGGATGAATTCCAACACTTATCTTTTTGTATTTGAATTACCTGCCCTTGTAGAATATGAAGCTAGATCAGACATTTAATTATTATTAATATAAAATGTATAAATACAACTTTTTGATAAATAAAAATTTATTTCTTATCAAATGATTTTTTTTATGTTTGTCCGCGTTCAAATTGTAATGAAAAAGATCGATACTCCATAAATAAAATCGATCGATTAATCGATACCGAAAATCGAATCTTAGAATAGAACTTGAGAAACGATAATCGCGATTAATCGATTCTACTTTTTTGAATCGATTCAATTACTATCATTACCTTTGATTTGAATAAGATAATCGAGATTTCGAACTTATCGGAAGTATGGTTTATTCAAGTTTTCGGTATTCTGATTCATACTTTGTTGTCGAGTTTCTGTGTTTTCAGACCAAACTCAAGCATCTCATCCGTTGGCGTAGGCAGCGGGAACTTACTAGTTAGGAATTAGTGGGCTGAGATCAATTGACATTAATCATTTATTTCTCCATGCTCATTGTTCTCATATAATAGTTATTTAAAAATTATTTTATGAAAATATCTAATTCTCCAAATAAATTCGGATTTGTGGTTCAATTAGTTTGCGATATGTATTAGAAACTTTACATTTACAAAGTTTATTTTGAATGTTTTTTTTTTACAATATTTTTGTTATTTGTAGGCTTGTTTTCATCAAAATCATGATATTATCTTTTATTTTATAGGTTTGTTTTTGTAGAAACGGTATTCGATGTTTTAGAAATAATTGCGTCCACTAAATTTTCATTTTTTTAATTCCTTAAGTAGTTATTACAGAAAGTATTTCTTAATAAATAATGATAATTTTATCACTAATAATAACAAATTATACATAAAATTAGAATTGCTACATTTCACTGATAGAATAAAATTACCACTAATTTATTATTTTTAAACTTGTAAATGTTCTGTAAGAATTTCTTAATAAAGTTATAATTTATACTAATCTAAAAGGATAAATTAATGAAAAAGAAATAATTTAGTAGGTAGAAAATATTTGAATAAAATATGCAAATTGAGGCAATAATCTTGAAGCTCTTTAATATTAAATTTTTTCTGTATATAAAATTTAATTCAAAGCAACAATCCTATCAAAAAATTGATTTGACAATTATTTTATATAGATTAATATTTTATTTACAACTTCTTAATATATAGAAAGTAATCAATAGAAAAGGGAAAAAATCTATAAATTATGAGTAATTTTAATTATTAAGCTAGTTTTATTCACATGATCATGATTAGCAGAATGAACCAATAAAAATATTTTTGACTAAAAAGTGGATTTCTTTCTTTTCTACTAACTGCCTTCCATATTACTAATAAAATTTTTAAAGCTTAAATAATTAAAAATTAATTTAAATTTTAAAATTAGATTTGATAATTTTTATAATTACTGGATAAACAAAACTATTAAAGATTATATACTATCTGAAAAATTAAAAGATCATATTACTTAGTAAAATGGATAAAGAAAAGTTAAGATATTATTGAATCTAATATAATTAAATAATTATTT